CGAGACTGGCAGTGCTGCTATTAATACAGCCCCATTACCAACATATAACGAGACTGGCAGTGCTGCTATTAATACAGCCCCATTACCAACATATAACGAGACTGGCAGTGCTGCTATTAATACAGCCCCATTACCAACACATAACGAGACTGGCAGTGCTTCTATTAATACAGCCCCATTACCAACATATAACGAGACTGGCAGTGCTGCTATTAATACAGCCCCATTACCAACATATAACGAGACTGGCAGTGCTGCTATTAATACAGCCCCATTACCAACACATAACGAGACTGGCAGTGCTGCTATTAATACAGCCCCATTACCAACACATAACGAGACTGGCAGTGCTGCTATTAATACAGCCCCATTACCAACATATAACGAGACTGGCAGTGCTTCTATTAATACAGCCCCATTACCAACATATAACGAGACTGGCAGTGCTGCTATTAATACAGCCCTATTACCAACATATAACGAGACTGGCAGTGCTTCTATTAATACAGCCCCATTACCAACATATAACGAGACTGGCAGTGCTGCTATTAATACAGCCCCATTACCAACATAACGAGACTGGCAGTGCTTCTATTAATACAGCCCCATTACCAACATATAACGAGACTGGCAGTGCTGCTATTAATACAGCCCCATTACCAACATATAACGAGACTGGCAGTGCTGCTATTAATACAGCCCCATTACCAACACATAACGAGACTGGCAGTGCTGCTATTAATACAGCCCCATTACCAACACATAACGAGACTGGCAGTGCTTCTATTAATACAGCCCCATTACCAACATATAACGAGACTGGCAGTGCTGCTATTAATACAGCCCCATTACCAACATATAACGAGACTGGCAGTGCTTCTATTAATACAGCCCCATTACCAACATATAACGAGACTGGCAGTGCTGCTATTAATTACAGCCCCATTACCAACACATAACGAGACTGGCAGTGCTGCTATTAATATAGCCCCATTACCAACATATAACGAGACTGGCAGTGCTGCTATTAATACAGCCCCATTACCAACATATAACGAGACTGGCAGTGCTGCTATTAATACAGCCCCATTACCAACATATAACGAGACTGGCAGTGCTGCTATTAATACAGCCCCATTACCAACACATAACGAGACTGGCAGTGCTGCTATTAATACAGCCCCATTACCAACACATAACGAGACTGGCAGTGCTGCTATTAATACAGCCCCATTACCAACACATAACGAGACTGGCAGTGCTGCTATTAATACAGCCCCATTACCAACACATAACGAGACTGGCAGTGCTGCTATTAATACAGCCCCATTACCAACACATAACGAGACTGGCAGTGCTGCTATTAATACAGCCCCATTACCAACACATAACGAGACTGGCAGTGCTGCTATTAATACAGCCCCATTACCAACACATAACGAGACTGGCAGTGCTGCTATTAATACAGCCCCATTACCAACACATAACGAGACTGGCAGTGCTGCTATTAATACAGCCCCATTACCAACACATAACGAGACTGGCAGTGCTGCTATTAATACAGCCCTATTACCAACATATAACGAGACTGGCAGTGCTGCTATTAATACAGCCCCATTACCAACACATAACGAGACTGGCAGTGCTGCTATTAATACAGCCCCATTACCAACACATAACGAGACTGGCAGTGCTGCTATTAATACAGCCCCATTACCAACACATAACGAGACTGGCAGTGCTGCTATTAATACAGCCCTATTACCAACACATAACGAGACTGGCAGTGCTGCTATTAATACAGCCCCATTACCAACACATAACGAGACTGGCAGTGCTGCTATTAATACACACTGCTTGCTTTAGTAACATTGTGAAATACACTGAGTGTACAAAACATTAGGAACACCTTCCTAATATTAAGTTGCACCCCCTTTTGCCCTCAGAACAGCCTCAATTTGTCGGGGCATGGACTCTACAAGGTGTCGGAAGCGTTCCACAGGGATGCTGTGTCACGCTCTGGCTCCGGGACTGTGTAGTTTGAGCCAGGGTGTATTCATTTGGTTGTGTTGGGTATAGGGTTGTTCATTTGGTTGTGTTTGGTTTTGGTTGTAGTGTCTTGTCTCGTCATGTGACTCCCAGTCGGAGGTAACGAGTGTCAGCTGTCGGCTCGTTATCTCTGATTGGGAGCCATATTTAAACTGTCAGTGTTCACCTTAGGGTTGTGGGTTTTTGTTCCATGTTTCAGTCTGTGTACTGAGGACTTCACTATCCGTCATTGTTTATTGTTTTCTCGTTCGTGCACTTTAACTTTAATAAAGTCATGTTCGCTACAAACGCTGCGCTTTGGTCCACTCCTTCCGTAGACGGCCGTGACAGAAAAACCCACCAAAAAAGGACCAAGCAGCGTGTCCAGGAGCAAGGAGACTGGACATGGGAGGAAGCGCCGGGTAAGGAGATCGAGAGGCTGGCGATGGCCCAGGTGGGCAAATCGTGGTCCTGGGAGGACATGCTCGGGGGCAAGGGACCTTGGGGGAGGATCAAGGCCCTGGCGAGAGAGGAGCAACGGCGTCAGCAGGGCCATCGTCGGAAGGACGAGAGGCAACCCCAAAAAGTTTTTTTGGGGGGGCACATGGCTTGGGCGGCTGGGCAGCAGGAGGCTGCCACAGGGAGACGTGGAGAGAAGGCTACCGGATTACGGGAGCCATTGGCGAGTAGAGGGAGGGAAGTAGTGGAGGCACGGCGTGAGAGACTGAGGTGTGTTACCAGTCCGGTCCGGCCTGTTCCTGATCCCCGGTTAAGGCCAGTGGTGTGTGTTCCCAGTATGGACCGGCCTGTTCCTACTCCACGCACCAAGTCCACGGTGTGCGTCGCCAGCCCAGCCCGGCCTGTTCCTGCTCCACGCACAAAGCCTACGGTGTGCGTCGACAGCCCTGTCCGGCCTGTTCCTGCTCCACGTACCAGACCTACGGAGTGCGTCGCCAGCCCAGCCCGGCCTGTTCCTGCTCCACGCACTAAACCTACGGTGTGCGTCGCCAGCCCAGCCCGGCCTGTTCCTGCTCCACGCACCAAGTCTACGGTGCGCGTCGCCAGCCCGACCCGGCCTGTTCCTGCCACTCGCACCAAACCTACGGTGCGCGTCGCCAGCCCGGTCCGGCCTGTTCCTGCCACCCGCACCAAGTGTACGGTGTGCGTCGCCAGCCCGACCCGGCCTGTTCCTGCCACTCGCACCAAACCTACGGTGCGCGTCGCCAGCCCGGTCCGGCCTGTTCCTGCCACCCGCACCAAGTCTACGGTGCGCGTCGCCAGCCCGAACCGGCCTGTTCCTGCCACTCGCACCAAACCTACGGTGCGCGTCGCCAGCCCGGTCCGGCCTGTTCCTGCCACTCGCACCAAGCCAAGGGTGCGAGTCGTCAGCCTGGTCCGGCCTGTTCCTGCCACTCGCACCAAGCCAAGGGTGCGAGTCGTCAGCCTGGTCCAGCCCGTTCCTGCTACTCGCACCAAGCCAGGGGTACGAGTCGTCGGCCTGGTCCAGCCCGTCCCTGCTACTCGCACCAAGCCAAGGGTGCGAGCCGTCAGCCTGATCCAGCCCATTCCTGCTACTCGCACCAAGCCAAGGGTGCGAGTCGTCAGCCTGGTTCAGCTCGTCCCTGCTACTCGCACCAAGCCAAGGGTGCGAGCCGTCAGCCTGATCCAGCCCATTCCTGCTACTCGCACCAAGCCAGGGATGCGAGTCTTCAGCCTGGTGAGGCCTGTTCCGGCTCCACGCACCAGGCAAAGGGTGCGTATCGTCTGCCAGTTCCGGTCCATTCCTACCTCACGCGCCAAGCCAGGGGTGCGCGTCGGAGGTCCTGATCCAGCAAGCTGGGTCAGATCGGACCGGGGTCACTACGGGGGGAGTGAAGTGGGGTGGTGGGCAAGCCCGGAGCCGACACTTACATCTTATGTCTTGCCCATTCACCCTCTGAATGGCACACATACACAATCCATGTCTCAGTTGTCTCAAGGCTTAAAAATCCTTCTTTAACCTGTCTCCTCCCCTTCATCTACACTGATTGAAGTGGATTTAACAAGTGACATCAATAAGGGATCATAGCTTTCACCTGGATTCACCTGGTCAGTCTATGTCATGGAAAGAGTAGGTGTTCATAGTGTTTTGGACACTCACACATTTCCCTGTTCCCGGTAAAACGTTCCACTCTTGAACGATTGATGGTTGTGGACCTCAACACTAGCTACAGTACACCTATCAGACCTGTGTGATCTAATGCTGTTGTGGTCCTCTGTAGCTCAGCTGGTAGAGCACGGCGCTTGTAACGCCAAGGTAGTGGGTTCGATCCCCGGGACCACCCATACACAAAAATGTATGTAAGTCGCTTTGGATAAAAGCGTCTGCTAAATGGCATATTATATTATTATATTATATATTGTTGTTGTTTGTGATGTAATGCTGTTGTTGTTGTTTGTGATCTAATGCTGTTGTTGTTGTTGTTTGTGATCTAATGCTGCTGTCTGTGTTTGTGATATAATGCTGTTGTTGTTGTTGTTTGTGATCTAATGCTGTTGTTGTTGTTGTTTGTGATCTAATGCTGTTGTTGTTTGTGATCTAATGCTGTTGTTGTTGTTTGTGATCTAATGCTGTTGTTTGTGATCTAATGCTGTTGTTGTTGTTTGTGATCTAATGCTGTTGTTGTTGTTGTTTGTGATCTAATGCTGCTGTCTGTGTTTGATATAATGCTGTTGTTGTTGTTGTTTGTGATCTAATGCTGTTGTTGTTGTTTGTGATCTAATGCTGTTGTTGTTGTTTGTGATCTAATGCTGTTGTTGTTGTTTGTGATCTAATGCTGTTGTTGTTGTTGTTTGTGATCTAATGCTGTTGTTTGTGATCTAATGCTGTTGTTGTTGTTGGTGATCTAATGCTGTTGTTGTTTGTGATCTAATGCTGTTGTTGTTGTTTGTGATCTAATGCTGTTGTTGTTGTTGTTGTTGTTGGTGATCTAATGCTGTCTGTGTTTCCTCTCCCCCTCAGTCCCAAGGGGAAGAAGTTCCGGAGCAAACCTCAGCTGTCCCGTTACCTAGGCAACACGGTGGACCTGGGATGCTTCGACTTCCGAACGGGCAAGATGATGCCCAGCAAGCTGCAGAAGAGCAAACAGAGGCTACGGAATGAGAATCTCACCATCAACAAGGTACAGGTTAGCCTGGGCTACACATCAGGGGCCATCAACTGGTACAGGTTAGCCTGGGCTACACATCAGGGGCCATCAACTGGTACAGGTTAGCCTGGGCTACACATCAGGGGCCATCAACTGGTACAGGTTAGCCTGGGCTACACATCAGGGGCCATCAACTGGTACAGGTTAGCCTGGGCTACACATCAGGGGCCATCAACTGGTACAGGTTAGCCTGGGCTACACATCAGGGGCCATCAACTGGTACAGGTTAGCCTGGGCTACACATCAGGGGCCATCAACTGGTACAGGTTAGCCTGGGCTACACATCAGGGGCCATCAACTGGTACAGGTTAGCCTGGGCTACACATCAGGGGCCATCAACTGGTACAGGTTAGCCTGGGCTACACATCAGGGGCCATCAACTGGTACGGGTTAGCCTGGGCTACACATCAGGGGCCATCAACTGGTACGGGTTAGCCTGGGCTACACATCAGGGGCCATCAACTGGTACGGGTTAGCCTGGGCTACACATCAGGGGCCATCAACTGGTACAGGTTAGCCTGGGCTACACATCAGGGGCCATCAACTGGTACAGGTTAGCCTGGGCTACACATCAGGGGCCATCAACTGGTACAGGTTAGCCTGGGCTACACATCAGGGGCCATCAACTGGTACAGGTTAGCCTAGGCTACACATCAGGGGCCATCAACTGGTACAGGTTAGCCTGGGCTACACATCAGGGGCCATCAACTGGTACAGGTTAGCCTGGGCTACACATCAGGGGCCATCAACTGGTACAGGTTAGCCTGGGCTACACATCAGGGGCCATCAACTGGTACAGGTTAGCCTGGGCTACACATCAGGGGCCATCAACTGGTACAGGTTAGCCTGGGCTACACATCAGGGGCCATCAACTGGTACAGGTTAGCCTAGGCTACACATCAGGGGCCATCAACTGGTACAGGTTAGCCTGGGCTACACATCAGGGGCCATCAACTGGTACAGGTTAGCCTGGGCTACACATCAGGGGCCATCAACTGGTACAGGTTAGCCTGGGCTACACATCAGGGGCCATCAACTGGTACAGGTTAGCCTGGGCTACACATCAGGGGCCATCAACTGGTACAGGTTAGCCTGGGCTACACATCAGGGGCCATCAACTGGTACAGGTTAGCCTGGGCTACACATCAGGGGCCATCAACTGGTACAGGTTAGCCTGGGCTACACATCAGGGGCCATCAACTGGTACAGGTTAGCCTGGGCTACACATCAGGGGCCATCAACTGGTACAGGTTAGCCTGGGCTACACATCAGGGGCCATCAACTGGTACAGGTTAGCCTGGGCTACACATCAGGGGCCATCAACTGGTACAGGTTAGCCTGGGCTACACATCAGGGGCCATCAACTGGTACAGGTTAGCCTGGGCTACACATCAGGGGCCATCAACTGGTACAGGTTAGCCTAGGCTACACATCAGGGGCCATCAACTGGTACAGGTTAGCCTGGGCTACACATCAGGGGCCATCAACTGCTGTTCACTATGTTCTCCTCGTGGCCAATTGTATTTATTTAGTCTTTATTTTAGCAGGGAGTCATATTGAGACCAAGGTCTCTTTCACAGAAGACTATTCTCAGCTCCTTACTGTTCTCAGCCCTGTGCTAGCAGTGGTTTTCATGACTAGCCTGTGTACTTCAATATTTTCTTCACTCAATGGCTACGTCCCAATTATCTCTCCTTCCTCCCAAAGTGTGCACTTGTTCACTTCCCTTTTTGCTGATTTTGAAAGTGACTGGTATAGGTAATATGGTGGAAATACCCACTGTAGCCCATGCCTCCACCAATCCAATGCTTGATGATTTGTGGGAAGCTGTCAACGAGTGTACACTTCAGGAGAAATTAGATATTATTGGGATGAACCCTCTGAATGGCACACATATACAATCCATGTCTCAGTTGTCTCAAGGCTTTAAAATCCTTCTTTAACCTGTCTCCTCCCCTTCATCGACACTGATTTTGAAGTGGATTTAACAAGTGACATCAATAAGGGATCATAGCTTTCACCTGGATTCACCTGGTCAGTCTGTCATGGAAAGAGTAGGTGTTCCTAATGTTTTGGACACTCACACATTTCCCTGTTCCCGGTAAAACATTCCACTCTTGAACGATTGATGGTTGTGGACCTCAATACTAGCTACAGTACACCTATCAGACCTGTGTGATCTAATGCTGTTGTTGTTGTTGTTCTTTGATCTAATGCTGTTGTTGTTGTTGTTGTTTGATCTAATGCTGTTGTTGTTGTTGTTCTTTGATCTAATGTTGTTGTTGTTGTTTGTGATCTAATGCTTTTAGATTTGTGGGAAGTAGTCAAGTAGTCAATTTGTGTGAAGTGTACACTTCAGGGAGAAATGAGATATTATTGGGATGAACCCAGTGCCTGTAGGTAATTCCCTATCTTCCCTTAACACGATCAGTGCTGCTCTCCATGTTGCACCGCAACTGACTGTGTTGTAGTAGCTGTTGAGTATATCTGTTGCTGTGTTGTAGTAGCTGTTGAGTATATCTGTTGCTGTGTTGTAGTAGCTGTTGAGTATATCTGTTGCTGTGTTGTAGTAGCTGTTGAGTATATCTGTTGCTGTGTTGTAGTAGCTGTTGAGTATATCTGTTGCTGTGTTGTAGTAGCTGTTGAGTATATCTGTTGCTGTGTTTGTAGTAGCTGTTGAGTATATCTGTTGCTGTGTTGTAGTAGCTGTTGAGTATATCTGTTGCTGTGTTGTAGTAGCTGTTGAGTATATCTGTTGCTGTGTTGTAGTAGCTGTTGAGTATATCTCTTGCTGTGTTGTAGTAGCTGTTGAGTATATCTCTTGCTGTGTTGTAGTAGCTGTTGAGTATATCTGTTGCTGTGTTGTAGTAGCTGTTGAGCATATCTCTTGCTGTGTTGTAGTAGCTGTTGAGTATATCTGTTGCTGTGTTGTAGTAGCTGTTGAGTATATCTGTTGCTGTGTTGTAGTAGCTGTTGAGTATATCTGTTGCTGTGTTGTAGTAGCTGTTGAGTATATCTGTTGCTGTGTTGTAGTAGCTGTTGAGTATATCTGTTGCTGTGTTGTAGTAGCTGTTGAGTATATCTGTTGCTGTGTTGTAGTAGCTGTTTGAGTATATCTGTTGCTGTGTTGTAGTAGCTGTTGAGTATATCTGTTTGCTGTGTTGTAGTAGCTGTTGAGTATATCTGTTGCTGTGTTGTAGTAGCTGTTGAGTTATATCTGTTGCTGTGTTTGTAGTAGCTGTTGAGTATATCTGTTGCTGTGTTGTAGTAGCTGTTGAGCATATCTCTTGCTGTGTTGTAGTAGCTGTTGAGTATATCTGTTGCTGTGTTGTAGTAGCTGTTGAGTTATATCTTTGTGGTGTTGCTGTGTTGTAGTAGCTGTTGAGTATATCTGTTGCTGTGTTGTAGTAGCTGTTGAGTATATCTGTTGCTGTGTTGTAGTAGCTGTTGAGTATATCTGTTGCTGTGTTGTAGTAGCTGTTGAGTATATCTGTTGCTGTGTTGTAGTAGCTGTTGAGTATATCTGTTGCTGTGTTGTAGTAGCTGTTGAGTATAGAATGCGAATCAATGGGAATCCATTCTAGTAATTATATTTCTATGTTATAGGCTACGTTATTGGTAGGTCAGAGGTCATACAGACAGACAGAGGCTCTACTGGCGGCTCTCCTCTCACCTGCCAGTCAGTCAGTACACATGGAGGACCACATCCACTGTACATAGTTCAACGTACAGTCAGTCAGTACACATGGAGGACCACATCCACTGTACATAGTTTCAACGTACGGTCAGTCAGTACACATGGAGGACCACATCCACTGTACATAGTTCAACGTACAGTCAGTCAGTACACATGGAGGACCACATCCACTGTACATAGTTCAACGTACGGTCAGTCAGTACACATGGAGGACCACATCCACTGTACATAGTTCAACGTTACGGTCAGTCAGTACACATGGAGGACCCACATCCACTGTACATAGTTCAACGTACAGTCAGTCAGTACACATGGAGGACCACATCCATGTACATAGTTCAACGTACAGTCAGTCAGTACACATGGAGGACCACATCCACTGTACATAGTTCAACGTACAGTCAGTCAGTACACATGGAGGACCACATCCACTGTACATAGTTCAACGTACAGTCAGTCAGTACACATGGAGGACCACATCCACTGTACATAGTTCAACGTACGGTCAGTCAGTACACATGTAGGACCACATCCACTGTACATAGTTCAACGTACAGTCAGTCAGTACACATGGAGGACCACATCCACTGTACATAGTTCAACGTACAGTCAGTCAGTACACATGTAGGACCACATCCACTGTACATAGTTCAACGTACAGTCAGTCAGTACACATGGAGGACCACATCCACTGTACATAGTTCAACGTATGGTCAGTCAGTACACATGGAGGACCACATCCACTGTACATAGTTCAACGTACAGTCAGTCAGTACACATGGAGGACCACATCCACTGTACATAGTTCAACGTATGGTCAGTCAGTACACATGGAGGACCACATCCACTGTACATAGTTCAACGTACGGTCAGTCAGTACACATGTAGGACCACATCCACTGTACATAGTTCAACGTACAGTCAGTCAGTACACATGGAGGACCACATCCACTGTACATAGTTCAACGTACAGTCAGTCAGTACACATGTAGGACCACATCCACTCTACATAGTTCAACGTACAGTCAGTCAGTACACATGGAGGACCACATCCACTGTACATAGTTCAACGTATGGTCAGTCAGTACACATGGAGGACCACATCCACTGTACATAGTTCAACGTACAGTCAGTCAGTACACATGGAGGACCACATCCACTGTACATAGTTCAACGTATGGTCAGTCAGTACACATGGAGGACCACATCCACTGTACATAGTTCAACGTACAGTCAGTCAGTACACATGGAGGACCACATCCACTGTACATAGTTCAACGTACAGTCAGTCAGTACACATGGAGGACCACATCCACTGTACATAGTTCAACGTACAGTCAGTCAGTACACATGTAGGACCACATCCACTCTACATAGTTCAACGTACAGTCAGTCAGTACACATGGAGGACCACATCCACTGTACATAGTTCAACGTACAGTCAGTCAGTACACATGTAGGACCACATCCACTGTACATAGTTCAACGTACAGTCAGTCAGTACACATGGAGGACCACATCCACTGTACATAGTTCAACGTATGGTCAGTCAGTACACATGGAGGACCACATCCACTGTACATAGTTCAACGTACAGTCAGTCAGTACACATGGAGGACTACATCCACTGTACATAGTTCAACGTACAGTCAGTCAGTACACATGGAGGACCACATCCACTGTACATAGTTCAACGTATGGTCAGTCAGTACACATGGAGGACCACATCCACTGTACATAGTTCAACGTACAGTCAGTCAGTACACATGGAGGACCACATCCACTGTACATAGTTCAACGTACAGTCAGTCAGTACACATGGAGGACCACATCCACTGTACATAGTTCAACGTACAGTCAGTCAGTACACATGGAGGACCACATCCACTGTACATAGTTCAACGTACAGTCAGTCAGTACACATGGAGGACCACATCCACTGTACATAGTTCAACGTACAGTCAGTCAGTACACATGGAGGACCACATCCACTGTACATAGTTCAACGTACAGTCAGTCAGTACACATGGAGGACCACATCCACTGTACATAGTTCAACGTACGGTCAGTCAGTACACATGGAGGACCACATCCACTGTACATAGTTCAACGTACAGTCAGTCAGTACACATGGAGGACCACATCCACTGTACATAGTTCAACGTACAGTCAGTCAGTACACATGGAGGACCACATCCACTGTACATAGTTCAACGTACAGTCAGTCAGTACACATGGAGGACCACATCCACTGTACATAGTTCAACGTACAGTCAGTCAGTACACATGGAGGACCACATCCACTGTACATAGTTCAACGTACAGTCAGTCAGTACACATGGAGGACCACATCCACTGTACATAGTTCAACGTACAGTCAGTCAGTACACATGGAGGACCACATCCACTGTACATAGTTCAACGTACAGTCAGTCAGTACACATGGAGGACCACATCCACTGTACATAGTTCAACGTACAGTCAGTCAGTATGTTGGTAAGGGAGCACCGACCGTTGGTTGTAGCGGTTGCAGTGAGAGTAACTCCTCCCTCGTGTGTTCTAATCATTGTGTTGGAGAACACCCTGGATCCACAGATAACAGCAGTCCATTCTGCCACCTCCCAGTCCTAACCGGTCAGGGCCGTCAGGGTCACGAAGGGCTGAAGCTCCAGTGCTTGAGGAGCTTCCATGTTCAAAATGTTGGCAAAACATTTTCAAACAGAAAACAAAAATGTGTAGTTTTTTTTTTTATTGGTACTGTTTCATACCGTTTCAGACATTATTCTTCTGTTTGGTGCCTACTGAACACAACCCTGACCTGACTCACAGAGACAGAGGAAGCAGGATGTGTTTGGTCGTCAGGTGCAGTTCCACTACTTTCTCAACACTCTCAGGGCAGATTCCCTTAGAGCAGTTTCAGGCCTGCTAGGATTGACATGTGGCGGATTCAGTGTTCACAATGCTCCTCATGTACTGATGGTAGTAAACAGCTTCACAGGAATATACTGATGGTAGTAAACACCTTCACAGGAATATACTGATGGCAGTAAACAGCTTCACAGGAATATACTGATGGCAGTAAACACCTTCACAGGAATATACTGATGGTAGTAAACAGCTTCACAGGAATATACTGATGGTAGTAAACAGCTTCACAGGAATATACTGATGGTAGTAAACAGCTTCACAGGAATATACTGATGGCAGTAAACAGCTTCACAGGAATATACTGATGGCAGTAAACAGCTTCACAGGAATATACTGATGGCAGTAAACAGCTTCACAGGAATATACTGATGGCAGTAAACACCTTCACAGGAATATACTGATGGCAGTAAACAGCTTCACAGGAATATACTGATGGTAGTAAACAGCTTCACAGGAATATACTGATGGCAGTAAACAGCTTCACAGGAATATACTGATGGCAGTAAACAGCTTCACAGGAATATACTGATGGTAGTAAACAGCTTCACAGGAATGTACTGATGGTAGTAAACAGCTTCACAGGAATATACTGATGGTAGTAAACACCTTCACAGGAATATACTGATGGTAGTAAACAGCTTCACAGGAATGTACTGATGGTAGTTTGTTGACGAATGTGTGTTTATCTAAGTTGGTCTCCAGAGCCCCTCGACATCTGTGAGCTGTCGGTCATTCCTCTGTCCTTGTTAGCCCTCGCTCTTGGCTTGCATCCCAAATGGCACCCTATTCCCTATATAGTGCACTACTTTTTGACCACTAGCAGTCCACTGTAAAGGGGAATAGGGTGCCCTTTGGGACGTAGCCTTAGAAGCGTTACTTGACGACGAGGCAGGCTCCCAGGGCAACGTGGCGTGGCCTAGCAACACACACGTGCTGCTGCAGGGAGGGGGGCGTTGCCTAGGTAACCAAAGACTTGGTTTCTCCAACACCTTTTCTTGTTTCAGCCAAGGAGCAACAAAGTTTCATCGCGTTGTAGAATCCATGTTGCTGTAGTCAATGTTACAGCAGAAACGGACTCAACCGTACGAATGTCCGGCCGCCCCGTCTTCAATCAGTTGTTCTTTCCCCCAAAAAAGGAAATAAAAAAAATATATGTCTTTTTTTATCGGTTATGACGGTTATTTTATTTTTATTCATGACGGTCTTCATCCATTACGCGATTATACAGTAATTGTGCCAGCCCTAGCACCGACACACGTACGCACAGCCGTTTCAGCATGCATGCATGTACGCAGGTACGCACAGCCGTTTCAGCATGCATGCATGTACGCACGGACGCACAGCCGTTTCAGCATGCATGCATGTACGCTCGTAGGCACAGCCGTTTCAGCATGCATGCGTGTACGCTCGTAGGCACAGCCGTTTCAGCATGCATGCGTGTACGCAGGTACGCACAGCCGTTTCAGCGTGCATGCATGTACGCACGGGCGCACAGCCGTTTCAGCATGCATGCGTGTACGCACGTAGGCACAGCCGTTTCAGCATGCATGCGTGTACGCACGTAGGCACAGCCGTTTCAGCATGCATGCACGTAAGCACGGACGCACAGCCACTGTCGACAACACTGACACACACAGGCCTGGAGCAGCTTTTCAGCCATGTTACATGTTGAGAAGTAAGACCAGTTCATTACTTCATCTGTCACTACTAAGCAGAGCTATACAAACACCAACACATTACAATAGAACTGCTAGGAGACGGTCATACGCTGTGTAGGTCTATTCTATTCTATTGTAGTGTAATGTAGTGTTTTTACAAGCCGCACTGAATAGACCCCTCAAATTCAACTCTGGACCTGGAAGCCACTTCCTCTGCTGTTTCTCATTCTTCCCTTCTAATCAGGGGACTGATTTACACCTGGGACACCTGGTGGGTGCAATTAATGATCAGGTGGAACAGAAAACCAGCAGTAGTCCGGCCGTTCGGCTGGTAAGAGTTAAATACTCCCGCTATAGACCCCGAATGGGTCCATGAACAGGTTAATACAGCTGGGAGCCAACAGCTTCGCCGTCTCAACACCGGATGTTGCTCTGCTCTCTGTCCCTTCAGGGAGAGGCTATATACGGACACGCCGGGTGCCCAAATTGACGACGTTTGTCGCGCAGTGAGAGTCGAGTGTGGAGAGGAACGGATTTGGTTCAGTCGGTTCAGTCAGTCGTCCTGATGAGCCCTTCCCAGCTAGCTAGTTTATGGGTGCGTTCGACATTACAGCCGGCTTTAAAGACGAGTCGTGACTCGTGACTGACTCATCTACAAATCACCTTGCGTCATAAATAACTACTCAGTATTATTTGTAGATCAGTCAGTCAAAATGTACCCATGAAACAACACAGTGTTGGGCTCTCGAACACGGCCTATGCTTGTTGCTAGAAACCTCAGCGAGAATTTGATACTTGTCTGCCGAAGTTGGGACTTGGGAGTGTTCAGAATCATTCCGTTTTTTTATCTGAGTAATTGTATGTGGTTTTTTTTGTGTGACAAAAAAATGTAACGTTAGTCGTTAATGCCAAACACGTTGGGGGCGATGAAACAACGGAGGGGGACCGCTGGACGACACGAGCAAGGGCGTGGGACGTGAACAGGGCGAGACCAAAGTTTGAGAAAGCTGAACTTTATGCAAATATTCACTATCGACCTATCAAAGCTCACTATAGCTTCCAGCCCTTACTGGATTGGCTGTTGATACCTAGCAGTACCTAGCATGCTTGCTGACCATCTAGCACCCATCTGAGGGCGATGCTAGCGTGGCGAGCGATGCTAGCGTGGCGAGCGATGCTAGCGTGGCGAGCGATGCTAGCGTGGCGAGGCAGAAGTGCTAGTTAAGACGCATTGTTATTTGTGGAAAGCGGGGGAGAAGGACACTGTAGGGTGGGTGAAAACTTGCTTTGGTGTTGAAATTTCACTTCCTTATGTTATAAAATACATTTTACCAAGACAAATATGATTATTCATGTGCTGAATCGTTCAGTGAGGTCTTTCTCTAACATATCATTAAACATTATATCCAAAAAGTCTTATTTCGTGACTAATACGTCCGATAATAAGCACACAGCTCTGTTGACATAGTGGTGCAGGTTTCTCCTAACAACTTTTGAGGATTTTACATTTTGTGATATGTGTCTTCAGAGTTCTTCCCATGGGTCCTGAAAAGCTAAATTTGCATGACACGAGCTGAATTAAATGTAAAAAGCTCTGAAAATATAACGCTTGGTAAATGCTCAGTGCTCCGTTGACATTTCAGACAGATACGCTTTTTTGTGGTTGAGAAATCTTCAAAAATAACAGGAATTTTGAATTAATATGAAAAGTGTATAATCAAATATGAAAATACTACATGTCATGTCTCAAAATCGATATACATCTTACCTCTATATTGTTTAATGTCCTGCGGACTCAAGAATAAAGATGTAGCCTTAATTCTTGCGCAGAATCCAGCCTAGCTGACGTGATGTGATTTCCCCTGATTTTTTAACCACTTTTTTTCTCTGGCCTCCATTGATTTAGTCACCCTAATTCTGGGCATGCTTTAAGGGTAAAAACTCCAATAGCTTTTGAAAGGGTTATGATAGAGACATGATGTTTGGACCGTTGGTTTTCTTAGAGCAGTGGTCACCAACCTTTTCTGAGTCAAGATCACTTTTGCAGTCAAAAGGTAAGCCGAGGTCTACCGCTCAAATTGTTTCTTAAACATTACATTAAAAATATAACATTAACCTTATAAAACCAGTTGTGTAGGAATGAGGTTTGTGCAGTAGGCCTAATACATTATCACAGCATATTGGCTATATGCCTGGTCTGCCAATATAGTTATTCTCAGACCATATTATATTTAAAAACTCCAGCTTTGATAACAAAATAGATCAGTTGTTGTATCACTTGCGAGGCACTGCTGAGCATACATTGAAATAATTTGCAAATAATTAGCTTAGATACAATCCTCCCAGCTCTGCAGATTTTGCTGCGAAGAGACAGAATCATTAGATCATTTGTTTTGGTACTGTCCGTTTGTAGCTTGTTTTTGGTCACAGGTCCAGGAATGGCTGAAGGATTGCAATATTTACCTGGAGCTAACCCTGCAGATAGCACTACTGGGTGATCTGAAAAGTCATAGTCAGTCGATCTATAATATAATAATACTTTTAGCAAAAATGTTTATTTTCAATTTACAATCTGTAGAAACAATGAGAATAGAAAGGTTCAGAACTTTTGTAAGACATCACAGTACAGTTGAAAAATATATGGCAAATATAAATCCTATATGGATGGTGTTAAAAGATAGATGGGAGGTGTTGAATGGAATTGAAGGATGGGACTAATAACAACTAACAACAACTAATAACAAGATAACTAATAATGTAGGCACGCTGTGTCCATAATAAGTGTATGGGTTGTAGGTTGGGAGCTTTTGTGAAAGAGCACAGTTAGAAAGATATGGCATATAGAAGCAAACCGGATGGACATCATGAAAATGATCGGAGAGGTTGAGGGTAGAAGAAGTTCAGGAGAAAAAACAAAACAAAATATAATTATTGTAAAATTGACTGTGTCCATAAAATGTATAGAGTAAGTATAAGCTGGAAGTAACTCGAGTCGCACCGCATATGCCTCATGCACAAATTCATGTTGTTCCTGTGACCAGAGAAAGTGAAGTATTTATTGATATTAAAATAGACACGACGAGCTGCTAACAATTAATAACACAGGCCTGTCGATACACTTGGCTACTCATTCATTGCAGCTGCAGCTGCTAGTGGAAGTAGCGGGAAGAGCGTTTGATTGTTTTGTAATAGTATTGAATAAAAACAGTGTTGACAGCGCTGAATACTAACTTAGACAGGAAGTCACTCATAAACACAGCAGCTCTTTGCTGAATTCTTTGACAGTCTCTCTCTCTGCTAATGTTTTAGAGGATTATCTACACAATGAACATATTATTTTAACCATTTGGTTAAAATATGCATTTTTGATTGGACACCCTAGACACTGTGCCCTGTGTTGTGTTGCCGGCTTGCAGCTCAGACGCTCCCCGTTGGCCAGTAGACTGCGTCACGGTGACGTCCAGATGGTTACTACCAATATTGCAAGTTATTTCTCCCGTAGGCTGCTATCCTAATCTAAATCAAATCAAGTGGGATGGAACCAATCGGAGATGGTGACCAAATCCAGATGGTGACCAAATCGGAGATGGTGACCAATGTAGTTATTGCTCCCTCGCCCATCGAAATAAACATAACTTTATTTTACAAGGTTTAACTAGCGCCATGCTGCTGTTGTTGCCAGCTAGCCAGCATAAACTAGCTGGGAATGGTTCATCAACCCAATCCATTCGTCTCCACACTCGACTCTCTGCCCACCTACACACACACTCTGCCCACCTACACACTCTCTCTGCCCACCTACACACTCTCTCTGCCCACCTACACGCTCTCTGCCCACCTATACGCTCTCTGCCCACCTACACACGCTGTCTGCCCACCTACACACGCTGTCTGCCCACCTACACACAGTCTCTGCCCACCTACACACGCTGTCTGCCCACCTACACGCTCTCTGCCCACCTACACACGCTCTCTGCCCACCTACACACGCTGTCTGCCCACCTACACGCTCTCTGCCCACCTACACACTCTCTCTGCCCACCTACACGCTGTCTGCCCACCTACACGCTCTCTGCCCACCTACACGCTCTCTGCCCACCTACACGCTCTCTGCCCACCTACACTCTCTCTGCCCACCTACACGCTGTCTGCCCACCTACACACGCTCTCTGCCCACCTACACACTGTCTGCCCACCTACACACGCTCTCTGCCCACCTACACACTGTCTGCCCACCTACACACGCTCTCTGCCCACCTACACACTGTCTGCCCACCTACACACGCTCTCTGCCCACCTACACACGCTCTCTGCCCACCTACACACGCTCTCTGCCCACCTACACACTGTCTGCCCACCTACACACGCTCTCTGCCCACCTACATACACTCTCTGCCCACCTACACGCTCTCTGCCCACCTACACACGCTGTCTGCCCACCTACACACGCTCTCTGCCCACCTACACACACTCTCTGCCCACCTACACACTCTCTGCCCACCTACACACTCTCTCTGCCCACCTAATACACGCTCTCTGCCCACCTACACACTCTCTCTGCCCACCTACACACTCTCTCTGCCCACCTACACGCTCTCTGCCCACCTACACACGCTCTCTGCCCACCTACACACGCTGTCTGCCCACCTACACACGCTCTCTGCCCACCTACACGCTCTCTGCCCACCTATATGCTCTCTGCCCACCTACACACGCTCTCTGCCCACCTACACATGCTCTCTGCCCACCTACACACTCTTTCTGCCCACCTACACACGCTCTCTGCCCACCTACACGCTCTCTGCCCACCTACACGCTCTCTGCCCACCTATATGCTCTCTGCCCACCTACACACGCTCTCTGCCCACCTACACATGCTCTCTGCCCACCTACACACTCTTTCTGCCCACCTACACACTCTGCCCACTCCCTCTGCTATCTTATCTAAGCTTGAGGGCCCTCTGCTATCTTATCTAAGCTTGAGGGCCCTCTGCTATCTTATCTAAGCTTGAGGGCCCTCTGCTATCTTATCTAAGCTTGAGGGCCCTCTGCTATATTATCTAAGCTTGAGGGCCCTCTGCTATCTTGTCTAAGCTTGAGGGCCCTCTGCTATCTTATCTAAGCTTGAGGGCCCTCTGCTTTCTTATCTAAGCTTGAGGGCCCTCTGCTATCTTATCTAAGCTTGAGGGCCCTCTGCTATCTTGTCTAAGATTGAGGGCCCTCTGCTATCTTATCTAAGCTTGAGGGCCCTCTGCTATCTTGTCTAAGCTTGAGGGCCCTCTGCTATCTTATCTAAGCTTGAGGGCCCTCTGCTATCTTATCTATGGTTCTTAGTGCTCTCTTTGGGAAGGACTCAGGATAAATACCTGTTCTTTACAAATCATGTGACAAATAACATTTGATTTGATTTCTTTGACGTGAATTAAAAAATGTGAAAGCTTTTTTGAAGTGCTTACTTCTTGAAAGAAAGTGGTAATGTTGGTAGCGGGTGTTTGCATATGGAGCGGTTTGCTTGGTGTTGTTCTTGGTCTGTAATTGAGTGTGTGCCGCTGCCACAGTGTTGCTCACGAGCTGAGGACTGCCTCCTCCCTGGGACTCTGTGCCCTGAGACGCAGCTTGACCCTGGGTGTGTGCTCTGGTATCCTCCCCAGGACTCAATAAGCCCTGGTATGCAGCTCGTCCCTGGGACTCTGTGTGCTCTGGTACACAGTCAGGGTGCCTTGGTATGCAGCTCGTCCCTGGGACTCAGTGTGCTCTGGTACACAGTCAGTGTGCCTTGGTATGCAGCTCGTCCCTGTGACTCAGTGTGCTCTGGTACACAGTCAGGGTGCCCTGGTATGCAGCTCGTCCCTGGGACTCAGTGTGCTCTGGTACACAGTCAGGGTGCCTTGGTAGGCAGCTCGTCCCTGGGACTCAGTGTGCTCTGGTACACAGTCAGTGTGCCTTGGTATGCAGCTCGTCCCTGGGACTCAGTGTGCTCTGGTACACAGTCAGTGTGCCTTGGTATGCAGCTCGTCCCTGGGACTCAGTGTGCCCTGGTACACAGTCAGGGTGCCTTGGTATGCAGCTCGTCCCTGGGACTCAGTGTGCTCTGGTACACAGTCAGTGTGCCTCGGTATGCAGCTCGTCCCTGGGACTCAGTGTGCTCTGGTACACAGTCAGTGTGCCTTGGTATGCAGCTCGTCCCTGGGACTCAGTGTGCTCTGGTACACAGTCAGTGTGCCTTGGTATGCAGCTCGTCCCTGGGACTCAGTGTGCTCTGGTACACAGTCAGTGTGCCTTGGTATGCAGCTCGTCCCAGGGACTCAGTGTGCTCTGGCTGGTACGTAGATCCTCCCTAGGACTCAGTATGTGCTAACTAAGAGACAGATCCTCCGTTCCAGCTAGGCCTAGGTCCTGAGCCGGTGTTGCTTGGCTGAGTGAGTAGTGCAGGCGTTGGTTTTAGTTTGGCCCCGCCCCACTCTACTCTGCTGCTTCACTGCTCTCCACATGTCCTCGTTAGGGAGTCCCCCCCTCCCCTCCCCTCCCCTCCCCTCCCCTCCCCTCCCCCCTTTTGTGTCTGCCAAACCACAGATCAAAGTTAACCCTTCAACCGTCGCTGCTCTGCACACAGCACATGCAGATGTTAGCTGAGCGCCTCGCTTAGCAGCCTAGACTCGCCAACCGCCCACTTTGAATGTTCTCTGTCTGCGTCACTAGTTGTTTGAACTGAACACTGGTTTCCGGCTGTCCCACAGTGGCTGTAGGAGTTCTGCTGAATGTGTTTAAGACACTGTAAAAAGAGGAGTGCCCAAAGCAGGGATGTGTGGAGGGGTAGTGGTAAACTATTAAAAGGAAGGTTCCCTTCACGGTTTTATGACACGACCGCTTCGTGATGGCTCATAGAAGTAGGGTGGACATTGCTTTCCCAACTGACACTCTCTCTGTCTCTTCTCCCAACTGACACTCTCTCTGTCTTCTCCCAACTGACACTCTCTCTGTCTCCTTCTCCCAACTGACACTCTCTCTGTCTCCTTCTCCCAACTGACACTCTCTCTGTCTCCTTCTCCCAACTGACACTCTCTCTGTCTCCTTCTCCCAACTGACACTCTCTCTGTCTCCTTCTCCCAACTGACACTCTCTCTGTCTCTCTCCCAACTGACCACTCCTCTTCTCCTCTCTACTCCTCCCTAACCATCTCTAACCTCTCCCCCTACCTACTCTCTCACTCTTCCCTATCCTCTCTCACCATCACCTCTATCGTCTACTCCTCCTCTCCTCTCTCTCCTATCCTCTCTCCTCTCTCCTCTCTCCTCTCCTCTCCTCTCTACCTCTCTCCTCTCTACCTCTCTCCTCTCTGCTCTGATTGTCCCTCTACCTCTCTCCTATTGTTTAATCAAGCCTCTCTCTCTGTCCTCTCCTTTCAGGGTAAACCAGACCTGAACACAGCACTTCCTATCAGACAGACAGCCTCCATCTTTAAACAGCCCGTCACCAAAGTGGTGAACCACCCCAGCAACAAGGTGAAGACAGACCTGCAGAGAGCCACAGAGCAGCCCAGACAGGTGAGACACACACACACACACACACACACACAGTTGCTTGTTAATGTCTGGTTATTGCCCAGAACGAGGGTTGATTATAAGATGCATTCTACACCCAGAAGGATGAGAGGTCACTGGCTATCATTGTGGAGAGTAGCTGGTAAAGGCCCACCCATTGTGGAGAGTAGCTGGTAAAGGCCCACCCATTGAGGAGAGTAGCTGGTAAAGGCCCACCCATTGAGGAGAGTAGCTGGTAAAGGCCCACCCATTGAGGAGAGTAGCTGGTAAAAGCCCACCCATTGTGGAGAGTAGCTGGTAAAAGCCCACCCATTGAGGAGAGTAGCTGGTAAAAGCCCACCCATTGTGGAGAGTAGCTGGTAAAGGCCCACCCATTGTGGAGAGTAGCTGGTAAAGGCCCACCCATTGTGGAGAGTAGCTGGTAAAGGCCCACCCATTGTGGAGAGTAGCTGGTAAAGGCCCACCCATTGTGGAGAGTAGCTGGTAAAGGCCCACCCATTGTGGAGAGTAGCTGGTAAAGGCCCACCCATTGAGGAGAGTAGCTGGTAAAAGCCCACCCATTGTGGAGAGTAGCTGGTAAAAGCCCACCCATTGAGGAGAGTAGCTGGTAAAAGCCCACACATTGTGGAGAGTAGCTGGTAAAGGCCCACCCATTGTGGAGAGTAGCTGGTAAAGGCCCACCCATTGTGGAGAGTAGCTGGTAAAGGCCCACCCATTGTGGAGAGTAGCTGGTAAAGGCCCACCCATTGTGGAGAGTAGCTGGTAAAGGCCCACCCATTGTGGAGAGTAGCTGGTAAAGGCCCACCCATTGTGGAGAGTAGCTGGTAAAGGCCCACCCATTGTGGAGAGTAGCTGGTAAAGGCCCACCCATTGAGAGAGTTTCACACTAATCTAATCTGGTTTAAAACAACAAACTCATGACTAGGACCAGTTTTGAACAGGTCTGCAGCCATGTCTCCCGGTTCAGGCTCTAGACACCAGCTTCACAGCGTCTCACTGTCTAGTGGGCACTATGTAGGCCAGCCACAACGTCTACTAGTTAAGGATGCCACAATAGGGCTACCTAAGCCTGTACTGTTGTTGTAACTGAACCAGGGTGTCATGTCTGGCATCAACCACTAGAGGCTGCTAATGGACCACAGATGTAATTCTGTAGCTCCTCACTGTGTTACAGCAGCACCGCTTAGTATGAACACAGCAGCACCACGCTGAGACTGGGACTGGGACAGCCAGTCATTGCCGTTATAAAGCCAGTCATTGCCGTTATAAAGCCAGTCATTGCCGTTATAAAGCCAGTCATTGCCGTTATAAAGCCAGTCATTGCCGTTATAAAGCCAGTCATTGCCGTTATAAAGCCAGTCATTGCCGTTATTAAGCCAGTCATTGCCGTTATAAAGCCAGTCATTGCCGTTATAAAGCCAGTCATAGGCTGGCCGCTAGCTGAGTGGAGACAGAGCTGTGTGAGTCAACGAGGCTGTGTGACATCTGAGAGCCGTTGTCTCCAGCACCTGCAGTGAATAGCAGACTTACGAGGACACATCCCCCACCCACAAACACACACAGACACACACACACACACACACAGACACACACACACACACACACACACACACACACACACACACACACACACACACACACACACACACACACACACACACACACACACACACACACACACACACAGACACACACACACAGACACACACACCCCCTCACAGACACACACACACACACACACACACAGACGTAAGTGTTCGACTGATCCCAGAGTACCGTTGTCTTATAGCCTAGCCCATGACCACGAGGCTCAGACTACCAGTACAGCATATACAGAGACCAGTAAATCACATGGTGTGGGGGTGGATGTTCTGAGTAGAGTGTGTACGTCTGTGTGTCTTTCTGTGTGTCACTGTGTGTGTGTGTGTGTCTTTCTGTGTGTCTTTCTGTGTGTCTTTCTGTGTGTCTTTCTCTGTGTGTGTGTGGGTGTGTGGGTGTGGGTGTGGGTGTGGGTGTGTGTGTGTGGGTGTGGGTGTGTGGGTGGGTGTATTATCGTAATCATGATGAAGCCTCACCAGATTAATGTGTATAGCAGCCAGCCAGCCAGCCAGCCAGCCAGCCAGCCAGCCAGACAGACAGACAGACAGACAGACAGACAGACAGACAGACAGACAGACATGAGGAGGGGTAATGTATCAGGGAATTCTCTCTCTCCCCTAATAGGCTGCTTCTCTGTCGTTGGGACAATCTGCCTACTCAGCAACTCCTCTTCCAATGACACCAGCCCCCCTCTCCTCTTACTGGGGAGATGACACCAGCCCCCCTCTCCTCTTCCTGGGGAGATGACACCAGCCCCCCTCTCCTCTTACTGGGGATATGACACCAGCCATCTCCTCTTACTGGGGAGATGACACCAGCCCCCCTCTCCTCTTACTGGGGAGATGACACCAGCCCCCATCTCCTCTTACTGGGGAGATGACACCAGCCCCCCTCTCCTCTTACTGGGGAGATGACACCAGCCCCCCTCTCCTCTTACTGGGGAGATGACACCAGCCCCCCTCTCCTCTTACTGGGGAGATGACACCAGCCCCCCTCTCCTCTTACTGGGGAGATGACACCAGCCCCCCTCTCCTCTTACTGGGGAGATGACACCAGCCCCCCTCTCCTCTTCCTGGGGAGATGACACCAGCCCCCCTCTCCTCTTACTGGGGAGATGACACCAGCCCCCCTCTCCTCTTACTGGGGAGATGACACCAGCCCCCCTCTCCTCTTACTGGGGAGATGACACCAGCCCCCCTCTCCTCTTACTGGGGAGATGACACCAGCCCCCCTCTCCTCTTACTGGGGAGATGACACCAGCCCCCCCTCTCCTCTTACTGGGGAGATGACACCAGCCCCCCTCTCCTCTTCCTGGGGAGATGACACCAGCCCCCCTCTCCTCTTACTGGGGAGATGACACCAGCCCCCCTCTCCTCTTCCTGGGGAGATGACACCAGCCCCCCTCTCCTCTTCCTGGGGAGATGACACCAGCCCCCCTCTCCTCTTACTGGGGAGATGACACCAGCCCCCCCTCTCCTCTTCCTGGGGAGATGACACCAGCCCCCCTCTCCTCTTACTGGGGAGATGACACCAGCCCCCCCTCTCCTCTTCCTGGGGAGATGACACCAGCCCCCCTCTCCTCTTCCTGGGGAGATGACACTAGCCCCCCTCTCCTCTTACTGGGGAGATGACACCAGCACCCCTCTCCTCTTACTGGGGAGATGACACCAGCCCCCATCTCCTCTTACTGGGGAGATGACACCAGCCCCCATCTCCTCTTACTGGGGAGATGACACCAGCCCCCCTCTCCTCTTACTGGGGAGATGACACCAGCCCCCCTCTCCTCTTACTGGGGAGATGACACCAGCCCCCATCTCCTCTTACTGGGGAGATGACACCAGCCCCCCTCTCCTCTTACTGGGGAGATGACACCAGCCCCCCTCTCCTCTTACTGGGGAGATGACACCAGCCCCCATCTCCTCTTACTGGGGAGATGACACCAGCCCCCCTCTCCTCTTACTGGGGAGATGACACCAGCCCCCCTCTCCTCTTACTGGGGAGATGACACCAAACCCCCCTCTCCTCTTACTGGGGAGATGACACCAGCCCCCCTCTCCTCTTACTGGGGAGATGACACCAGCCCCCCTCTCCTCTTACTGGGGAGATGACACCAGCCCCCCTCTCCTCTTACTGGGGAGATGACACCAGCCCCCATCTCCTCTTACTGGGGAGATGACACCAGCCCCCATCTCCTCTTACTGGGGAGATGACACCAGCCCCCCTCTCCTCTTACTGGGGAGATGACACCAGTCCCCCTCTCCTCTTACTGGTGAGATGACACCAGCCCCCCTCTCCTCTTACTGGGTGAGATGACACCAGCCCCCCTCTCCTCTTACTGGGGAGATGACACCAGCCCCCATCTCCTCTTACTGGGGAGATGACACCAGCCCCCATCTCCTCTTACTGGGAGATGACACCAGCCCCCATTCTCCTCTTACTGGGGAGATGACACCAGCCCCCATCTCCTCTTACTGGGGAGATGACACCAGTCCCCCATCTCCCTCTTACTGGGGAGATGACACCAAGCCCCCATCTCCTCTTACTGGGGAGATGACACCAGCCCCCCTCTCCTCTAACTGGGGAGATGACACCAGCCCCCCTCTCCTCTTACTGGGGAGATGACACCAGCCCCATCTCCTCTTACTGGGGAGATGACACCAGCCCCCCTCTCCTCTTACTGGGGAGATGACACCAGCCCCCCTCTCCTCTTACTGGGGAGATGACACCAGCCCCCATCTCCTCTTACTGGGGAGATGACACCAGCCCCCCTCTCCTCTTACTGGGGAGATGACACCAGCCCCCCTCTCCTCTTACTGGGGAGATGACACCAGCCCCCCTCTCCTCTTACCAGCCCCCCTCTCCTCTTACTGGGGAGATGACACCAGCCCCCCTCTCCTCTTACTGGGGAGATGACACCAGCCACCCTCTCCTCTTACTGGGGAGATGACACCAGCCCCCATCTCCTCTTACTGGGGAGATGACACCAGCCCCCCTCTCCTCTTACTGGGGAGATGACACCAGCCCCCCTCTCCTCTTACTGGGGAGATGACACCAGCCCCCATCTCCTCTTACTGGGGAGATGACACCAGCCCCCCTCTCCTCTTACTGGGGAGATGACACCAGCCCCCCTCTCCTCTTACTGGGGAGATGACACCAGCCCCCCTCTCCTCTTACTGGGGAGATGACACCAGCCCCACTCTCCTCTTACTGGGGAGATGACACCAGCCCCCCTCTCCTCTTACTGGGGAGATGACACCAGCCCCCCTCTCCTCTTACTGGGGAGATGACACCAGCCCCCATCTCCTCTTACTGGGGAGATGACACCAGCCCCCCTCTCCTCTTACTGGGGAGATGACACCAGCCCCCATCTCCTCTTACTGGGGAGATGACACCAGCCCCCCATCTCCTCTTACTGGTGAGATGACACCAGCCCCCCTCTCCTCTTACTGGGGAGATGACACCAGCCCCCATCTCCTCTTACTGGGGAGATGACACCAGCCCCCCTCTCCTCTTACTGGGGAGATGACACCAGCCCCCCTCTCCTCTTACTGGGGAGATGACACCAGCCCCCCTCTCCTCTTACTGGGGAGATGACACCAGCCCCCATCTCCTCTTACTGGGGAGATGACACCAGCCCCCCTCTCCTCTTACCAGCCCCCCTCTCCTCTTACTGGGGAGATGACACCAGCCCCCCTCTCCTCTTACTGGGGAGATGACACCAGCCCCCATCTCCTCTTACTGGGGAGATGACACCAGCCCCCCTCTCCTCTTACTGGGGAGATGACACCAGCCCCCATCTCCTCTTACTGGGGAGATGACACCAGCCCCCCTCTCCTCTTACTGGGGAGATGACACCAGCCCCCATCTCCTCTTACTGGGGAGATGACACCAGCCCCCCTCTCCTCTTACTGGGGAGATGACACCAGCCCCCCTCTCCTCTTACTGGGAAGATGACACCAGCCCCCATCTCCTCTTACTGGGGAGATGACACCAGCCTCCATCTCCTCTTACTGGGGAGATGACACCAGCCCCCCTCTCCTCTTACTGGGGAGATGACACCAGCCCCCCCTCTCCTCTTACTGGGGAGATGACACCAGCCCCCCTCTCCTCTTACTGGGGAGATGACACCAGCCCCCCTCTCCTCTTACTGGGGAGATGACACCAGCCCCCCTCTCCTCTTACTGGGGAGATGACACCAGCCCCCATCTCCTCTTACTGGGGAGATGACACCAGCCCCCCTCTCCTCTAACTGGGGAGATGACACCAGCCCCCCCTCTCCTCTTACTGGGGAGATGACACCAGCCCCCCCTCTCCTCTTACTGGGGAGATGACACCAGCCCCCCTCTCCTCTTACTGGGGAGATGACACCAGCCCCCATCTCCTCTTCCTGGGGAGATGACACCAGCCCCCCTCTCCTCTTACTGGGGAGATGACACCAGCCCCCCTCTCCTCTTCCTGGGGAGATGACACCAGCCCCCCTCTCCTCTTACTGGGGAGATGACACCAGCCCCCCTCTCCTCTTACTGGGGAGATGACACCAGCCCCCATCTCCTCTTACTGGGGAGATGACACCAGCCCCCCTCTCCTCTTACTGGGGAGATGACACCAGCCCCCATCTCCTCTTACTGGGGAGATGACACCAGCCCCCCTCTCCTCTTACTGGGGAGATGACACCAGCCCCCATCTCCTCTTACTGGGGAGATGACACCAGCCCCCCTCTCCTCTTACTGGGGAGATGACACCAGCCCCCATCTCCTCTTACTGGGGAGATGACACCAGCCCCCCTCTCCTCTTACTGGGGAGATGACACCAGCCCCCCTCTCCTCTTACTGGGGAGATGACACCAGCCCCCCTCTCCTCTTACTGGGGAGATGACACCAGCCCCCATCTCCTCTTACTGGGGAGATGACACCAGCCCCCCTCTCCTCTTACTGGGGAGATGACACCAGCCCCCATCTCCTCTTACTGGGGAGATGACACCAGCCCCCATCTCCTCTTACTGGGGAGATGACACCAGCCCCCCTCTCCTCTTACTGGGGAGATGACACCAGCCCCCATCTCCTCTTACTGGGGAGATGACACCAGCCCCCATCTCCTCTTACTGGGGAGATGACACCAGCCCCCATCTCCTCTTACTGGGGAGATGACACCAGCCCCCCTCTCCTCTTACTGGGGAGATGACACCAGCCCCCCCTCTCCTCTTACTGGGGAGATGACACCAGCCCCCCTCTCCTCTTACTGGGGAGATGACACCAGCCCCCCTCTCCTCTTACTGGGGAGATGACACCAGCCCCCCTCTCCTCTTACTGGGGAGATGACACCAGCCCCCCTCTCCTCTTACTGGGGAGATGACACCAGCCCCCCTCTCCTCTTACTGGGGAGATGACACCAGCCCCCCTCTCCTCTTACTGGGGAGATGACACCAGCCCCCCTCTCCTCTTACTGGGGAGATGACACCAGCCCCCCTCTCCTCTTACTGGGGAGATGACACCAGCCCCCCTCTCCTCTTACTGGGGAGATGACACCAGCCCCCCTCTCCTCTTACTGGGGAGATGACACCAGCCCCCCTCTCCTCTTACTGGGGAGATGACACCAGCCCCCATCTCCTCTTACTGGGGAGATGACACCAGCCCCCATCTCCTCTTACTGGGGAGATGACACCAGCCCCCATCTCCTCTTACTGGGGAGATGACACCAGCCCCCATCTCCTCTTACTGGGGAGATGACACCAGCCCCCCTCTCCTCTTACTGGGGAGATGACACCAGCCCCCCTCTCCTCTTACTGGGGAGATGACACCAGCCCCCATCTCCTGTTACTGGGGAGATGACACCAGCCCCCCTCTCCTCTTACTGGGGAGATGACACCAGCCCCCATCTCCTCTTACTGGGGAGATGACACCAGCCCCCCTCTCCTCTTACTGGGGAGATGACACCAGCCCCCATCTCCTCTTACTGGGGAGATGACACCAGCCCCCATCTCCTCTTACTGGGGAGATGACACCAGCCCCCATCTCCTCTTACTGGGGAGATGACACCAGCCCCCCTCTCCTCTTACTGGGGAGATGACACCAGCCCCCCTACGCGCCCACACACACGCTGACTTGACCCACACTGACACACGTACATACACATTGGGACTTGAGCACAGTGCCACTCAGCACTCTCTGCAGTAGTACCCACTGCCCATAATGCAGTGCCTGAATGACTTGAATCAGCAGCCCAATAGGAAGGTTGTAAGACCAGGCTCCATGTCTCAACAGTTAGTTGGACTGCGTTACCTTTCGGTTCCCTTATCATAACAACACTTGAGACTTTATCCAGAGTGGCATGCTGTTTCACTGACAACAGCAGACCTCAGAGTCAAGGTGGTCCCATCCCATCCTCTACCGGCTCTCTCTGTTATCGGAGGACAGTAAGGGACATTTAGGATAGCTGCTGTGTCTGTCTGTCAGATCGTGTACTAGACACTAGATAGTATACTCTTAGAGTGCAGGTGATGTTATCCTACTAGACACTAGATAGTATACTCTTAGAGTGCAGGTGATGTTATCCTACTAGACAGTAGACTCTCAGAGTGCAGGTGATGTTATCCTACTAGACAGTAGACTGTATACTCTCAGAGTGCAGGTGATGTTATCCTACTAGACAGTAGACTGTATACTCTCAGAGTGCAGGTGATGTTATCCTACTAGACCGTAGACTCTCAGAGTGCAGGTGATGTTATCCTACTAGACAGTAGACTGTATACTCTCAGAGTGCAGGTGATGTTATCCTACTAGACAGTAGACTGTATACTCTCAGAGTGCAGGTGATGTTATCCTACTAGACAGTAGACTGTATACTCTCAGAGTGCAGGTGATGTTATCCTACTAGACAGTAGACTCTCAGAGTGCAGGTGATGTTATCCTACTAGACAGTAGACTGTATACTCTCAGAGTGCAGGTGATGTTATCCTACTAGACAGTAGACTGTATACTCTCAGAGTGCAGGTGATGTTATCCTACTAGACAGTAGACTCTCAGAGTGCAGGTGATGTTATCCTACTAGACAGTAGACTGTATACTCTCAGAGTGCAGGTGATGTTATCCTACTAGACCGTAGACTCTCAGAGTGCAGGTGATGTTATCCTACTAGACAGTAGACTGTATACTCTCAGAGTGCAGGTGATGTTATCCTACTAGACAGTAGACTGTATACTCTCAGAGTGCAGGTGATGTTATCCTACTAGACAGTAGACTCTCAGAGTGCAGGTGATGTTATCCTACTAGACAGTAGACTGTATACTCTCAGAGTGCAGGTGATGTTATCCTACTAGACACTAGATATTATACTCTTAGAGTGCAGGTGATGTTATCCTACTAGACAGTAGACTCTCAGAGTGCAGGTGATGTTATCCTACTAGACAGTAGACTGTATACTCTCAGAGTGCAGGTGATGTTATCCTACTAGACAGTAGACTGTATACTCTCAGAGTGCAGGTGATGTTATCCTACTAGACAGTAGACTGTATACTCTCAGAGTGCAGGTGATGTTATCCTACTAGACAGTAGACTGTATACTCTCAGAGTGCAGGTGATGTTATCCTACTAGACAGTAGACTCTCAGAGTGCAGGTGATGTTATCCTACTAGACAGTAGACTGTATACTCTCAGAGTGCAGGTGATGTTATCCTACTAGACAGTAGACTGTATACTCTCAGAGTGCAGGTGATGTTATCCTACTAGACACTAGATAGTATACTCTTAGAGTGCAGGTGATGTTATCCTACTAGACAGTAGACAGTAGACTCTGAGTGCAGGTGATGTTATCCTACTAGACAGTAGACTCAGAGTGCAGGTGATGTTATCCTACTAGACAGTAAACTGTATACTCTCAGAGTGCAGGTGATGTTATCCTACTAGACACTAGATAGTATACTCTTAGAGTGCAGGTGATGTTATCCTACTAGACAGTAGACTCAGAGTGCAGGTGATGTTATCCTACTAGACAGTAAACTGTATACTCTCAGAGTGCAGGTGATGTTATCCTACTAGACAGTAGACTCAGAGTGCAGGTGATGTTATTCTGCTAGCTGCTGTATCTGTGTTCCCATGACATTGAGGGACATTCAGCCACTGTTAGGCTGTCTGTGTGAGGCTGAGGCTGGCTGGCTTGATTGTGTGACTTTAAGATGTGCTGCCTAATGAGGCTGTGAAGAAAATGGAGTGTCAGGATGATCACACACACTTATGCATGTGAGTCCGAGAGGAGGGGTGGTGAAGTTTCATTAGGATTTGGAAATGAGATCAGCTGCTTGGCTGATTATTTCCCACCGATGGCTTCCCTGACTTCCTCCCCCTCTCTCCCTCTGCTCCCTCCTTCCCTGACTTCCTCCCCCTCTCTCCCTCTGCTCCCTCCTTCCCTGACTTCCTCCCCCTCTCTCCCTCTCTGCTCCCTCCTTCCCTGACTTCCTCCCCCTCTCTCCCTCTGCTCCCTCCTTCCCTGACTTCCTCCCCCTCTCTCCCTCTGCTCCCTCCTTCCCTGACTTCCTCCCCCTCTCTCCCTCTGCTCCCTCCTTCCCTGAAGACCTCCCCCTCTCTCCCTCTGGCTCCCTCCTTCCCCTGACTTCCTCCCCCTCTCTCCCTCTGCTCCCTCCTTCCCTGACTTCCTCCCCCCTCTCTCCCTCTGCTCCCTCCTTCCCTGACTTCCTCCCCCTCTCTCCCTCTGCTCCCTCCTTCCCTGACTTCCTCCCCCTCTCTCCCTCTGCTCCCTCCTTCCCTGAAGACCTCCCCCCTCTCTCCCTCTGCTCCCTCCTTCCCTGACTTCCTCCCCCTCTCTCCCTCTGCTCCCTCCTTCCCTGACTTCCTCCCCCTCTCTCCCTCTGCTCCCTCCTTCCCTGACTTCCTCCCCCTCTCTCCCTCTGCTCCCTTCTTCCCTGACTTCCTCCCCCTCTCTCCCTCTCTGCTCCCTCCTTCCCTGAAGACCTCCCCCCTCTCTCCCTCCTCCCCCACCCCCCTCCTCTACCCCTGCCTTTAACCTCTCAGGAAATTACCCTAGGGAAATGGGGGTGGCTGTCACCCTGGCAACAGCCAATTAGGTGTGAAGACATTATCATAGGTAATAAAGAGACGTTCTGTTGGTCAGGGAAGAGGAGGCTAGAGGGGAACAGGCCAGATGGAGACACTGATCCATAGATGAGGACTCAAAGAAAGTGTGAGGGTGTGTGTGTGTTTACCTGCGTTAATGTTATAACAAATCCTAATGCTTCAGAGTACCACTGCTTCTCATGCTTCATGTTTAGCTTCTATTAAGGACCAAACTGACATGGAACTTTGTCAGTGTGTGAGAAGGCAAAGGCAACATGAATAACCTATTTGATTGTAGCATGTTTAAACCTTTAGACAGCTCTCTGGAATAGGACATGAACTATTGATCACCGACCTTGTTATCAAGCAGCTAACGTTGAGAGAGAGAGAGAGAGAGAGAATATATCCTGCTGCTGTTACTGGTATACACATCACATACACGTAACCTTGCTGTTAAGTGATGTAAAATACTAGATGCCCTTTGAGTCTCCGCAGCTTTCAAACTGGAAGGCCTTGAGGGTAAGGATGATATTCACCGGCAGCATGTATTTTAGCTAGACTTGCGAAACCCTCATATTAAACACCAATGGGATTCACTAAATTGATGAATTATATTGAGGATAATGTTCTGCCACTGCAGAGATAGCGAGGTCTCTCTCCATAGGCCTATTTCTGATCTGGCTACTAGCCAGCAGAGTAACTTGGTTGGAGCAGAAGTGAATTGCCTCCTAAATGTTTTCAAGAAGTGGACAAAAGCGGAATGGCCTTGTATTGAAGACGCTGCAGTGCTTCTCTAACTGGAGAGAGGATTAGTTTAGGACTAAGCAAAGGGAGACGGGCGATGGTTGGTTGATCTGCTGCCATCACATCCCTATATAGACGAGCCACCCCCTGCGTTAGGGAAGGATAGCATGGCTGTTATGTGTCTCTCTCTCAGTCAGCCTGTCGGCTCGTCTGGTTTGAAGGCCTTGGTTGGCACTAAGCACAGCTGTTTATTCTCTGTGTTGTTTCTGTTGCGGCTGCAGGATTTATACATCTAGGAGCCTAATAGCTTTATAACTCTCCAGTTTGATAAATACCAGGTCTTGTTTTCTGGGGTGTCCTGGGACCTCATGGTTCCATCACACTGTTCCATCTCTCTTTTTTTTTTGTCATTTAGCAGACGCTCTTATCCAGAGCGACTTACTTGAGCAATTAGGGTTAAGTGCCTTGCTCAAGGGCACATCGACAGATTTTTCACCTAGTCGGCTCGGGGATTAGAACCAGCGACCTTTCGGTTACTGGCACAACGCTGTTAACCACTAAGCTACCTGCCTTCCCCACTGTTCCATCTCTCTCCTCCTCTCCCCCACTGTTCCATCTCTCTCCTCCTCTTCCCCACTGTTCCATCTCTCTCCTCCTCTCCCCCACTGTTCCATCTCTCTCCTCCTCTTCCCCACTGTTTCCATCTCTCTCCTCCTCTCCCCCACTGTTCCATCTCTCTCCTCCTCTTCCCCACTGTTCCATCTCTCTCCTCCTCTTCCCCACTGTTCCATCTCTCTCCTCCTCTCCCCCACTGTTCCATCTCTCTCCTCCTCTTCCCCACTGTTCCATCTCTCTCCTCCTCTCCCCCACTGTTCCATCTCTCTCCTCCTCTTCCCCACTGTTCCATCTCTCTCCTCCTCTCCCCCACTGTTCCATCTCTCTCCTCCTCTCCCCCACTGTTCCATCTCTCTCCTCCTCTCCCCCCACTGTTCCATCTCTCTCCTCCTCTCCCCCACTGTTTCCATCTCTCTCCTCCTCTCCCCCACTGTTCCATCTCTCTCCTCCTCTCCCCCCACTGTTCCATCTCTCTCCCCCCACTGTTTCCATCTCTCTCCCCCACTGTTCCATCTCTCTCCCCCACTGTTCCATCTCTCTCCTCCTCCCCCCACTGTTCCATCTCTCTCCCCCACTGTTCCATCTCTCTCCCCCCACTGTTCCATCTCTCTCCCCCACTGTTCCATCTCTCTCCTCCTCTTCCCCACTGTTTCCATCTCTCTCCTCCTCTCCCCACTGTTCCATCTCTCTCCTCCTCTCCCCCACTGTTCCATCTCTCTCCTCCTCTCCCCCACTGTTTCCATCTCTCTCCTCCTCTCCCCCACTGTTCCATCTCTCTCCTCCTCTCCCCCACTGTTCCATCTCTCTCCTCCTCTCCTCTTCTCATCACCCCTCTGTTGTGTTTGCAGCTGTTCTGGGAGAAGCGATTGAAGGGCCTGAGGGTGTCAGCCATCACAGAAGAGGTCCTCAGGACCATGGAGCTTCCCAAAGGTTTAACAAGTAAGAGCACAAGCCTGCAAGGCTCTCTGTTTAGTTCAATTCACCTGATGTTAATAATAGGCTATCAATCATGTTATAGTTGTACATAAACCATATTATCATACAATTATAATGGTTAGAATTGTATTTATCCATTATTAGTTCAATATATACACATATCTACTATGAATCAAATACACTGGACTGTGAGATAGAATACGTATAGGTTCAAGTTTGTTTATTCATTATACATGGAGAACACAGTCCAATGACATGATATACATGGAGAACACAGTCCAATAACATGATATACATGGAGAACACAGTCCAATAACATGATATACATGGAGAACACAGTCCAATAACATGATATACATGGAGAACACAGTCCAATAACATGATATACATGGAGAACACAGTCCAATAACATGATATACATGGAGAACACAGTCCAATAACATGATATACATGGAGAACACAGTCCAATAACATGATATACATGGAGAACACAGTCCAATAACATGATATACATGGAGAACACAGTCCAATAACATGATATACATGGAGAACACAGTCCAATAACATGATATACATGGAGAACACAGTCCAATGACATGATATACATGGAAACACAGTCCAATGACATGATATACATGGAGAACACAGTCCAATAACATGATATACATGGAGAACACAGTCCAATAACATGATATACATGGAGAACACAGTCCAATGACATGATATACATGGAGAACACAGTCCAATAACATGATATACATGGAGAACACAGTCCAATGACATGATATACTGGAGAACACAGTCCAATAACATGATATACATGGAGAACACAGTCCAATAACATGATATACATGGAGAACACAGTCCAATAACATGATATACATGGAGAACACAGTCCAATAACATGATATACATGGAGAACACAGTCCAATAACATGATATACATGGAGAACACAGTCCAATAACATGATATACATGGAGTACACAGTCCAATAACATGATATACATGGAGAACACAGTCCAATAACATGATATACACGGAGAACACAGTCCAATAACATGATATACATGGAGAACACAGTCCAATGACATGATATACATGGAGAACACAGTCCAATGACATGATATACATGGAGAACACAGTCCAATAACATGATATACATGGAGAACACAGTCCAATGACATGATATACATGGAGAACACAGTCCAATAACATGATATACATGGAGAACACAGTCCAATGACATGATATACATGGAGAACACAGTCCAATGACATGATATACATGGAGAACACAGTCCAATAACATGATATACATGGAGAACACAGTCCAATAACATGATATACATGGAGTACACAGTCCAATGACATGATATACATGGAGAACACAGTCCAATGACATGATATACATGGAGAACACAGTCCAATGACATGATATACATGGAGAACACAGTCCAATAACATGATATACATGGAGAACACAGTCCAATAACATGATATACATGGAGTACACAGTCCAATGACATGATATACATGGAGAACACAGTCCAATAACATGATATACATGGAGAACACAGTCCAATAACATGATATACATGGAGAACACAGTCCAATACATGATATACATGGAGAACACAGTCCAATGACATGATATACATGGAGAACACAGTCCAATGACATGATATACATGGAGAACACAGTCCAATAACATGATATACATGGAGAACACAGTCCAATAACATGATATACATGGAGAACACAGTCCAATAACATGATATACATGGAGAACACAGTCCAATGACATGATATACATGGAGAACACAGTCCAATAACATGATATACATGGAGAACACAGTCCAATGACATGATATACATGGAGAACACAGTCCAATAACATGATATACATGGAGAACACAGTCCAATAACATGATATACATGGAGAACACAGTCCAATAACATGATATACATGGAGAACACAGTCCAATAACATGATATACATGGAGAACACAGTCCAATAACATGATATACATGGAGAACACAGTCCCAAAAAAAGCTTACTTGCATTTTCCCCTCTCGGCAGTCCAATGAAATGCTTACTTGCAGGTTGACCTCTCGGCAGTCCAATGAAATGCTTACTTGCAGGTTGACCTCTCGGCCGTCCAATGAAATGCTTACTTGCAGGTTCACCTCTGACAGGTTCACCTCTCGACAGATTAATCTCTCGACAGGTTGACCTTTAGACAAGTTGACCTCTTAACAGGTTGACCTCTAGACAGGTTGACCTCTAGACAGGTTGACCTTTAGACAGGTTGACCTCTAGACAGGTTGACCTCTAGACAGGTTGACCTTTAGACAGGTTGACCTCTAGACAGGTTGACCTTTAGACAGGTTGACCTCTAGACAATGCAGCAGCTATAGAAGAAAGAGTAATACGGAAATGTAATTAAAAGTAAGTCATGTAAGTAAACAATGAGGTATGTGAGTGTCTGTCGAGGTCGGTGGCTCTGACTAGTGTTATATTCCTGACCGTGTTCCTGCCGTCGTGTTGTCCCGTACCAGGTGTGGGTCCAGACACGTCAGACGAGACTCTCCTCGCAGCCATTGCCAGCGCCCTCCACATGAGCTCCTCCCCCATCACGGGACAGACGACCTCGGCTGCAGAGAAGAACCCGGCTGTCTGGCTGAACACGTCACAGCCCCTCTGTAAGGCCTTCATCGTCACCGACCAGGACATCCAGTAAGAACCTGGTGGGGTGGGGTGGGGTGGGGTGTTCGGGGTTGTCAGTGAACTGTGGAACGTTTTTTTTTTAAATGCCTCTTACCATGTGTGCATACATAACAACCATGCACTGTGCACGTCTCTCCTCTGAGCTGGGGTATTGAGCTGCTGTGGTATTGAGCTGCTGTGGTATTGAGCTGCTGTGGTATTGAGCTGCTGTGAGCTGTGGTATTGAGCTGCTGTGAGCTGTGGTATTGAGCTGCTGTGGTATTGAGCTGCTGTGAGCTGTGGTATTGAGCTGCTGTGGTATTGAGCTGCTGTGAGCTGTTCTATTGCTGTGTCACATGTAGCTACTATCCAATAAGATGGCCCCGTTCTGGATGGCAGCAGTTTTGCAAGCTCCGATCCAACTTTGCTATTTTGTGATTATTTTGTTGTTTATCTTTACTTTATTTTCACTAAATGTATCCGCTGTCATTTCTTACAACCGACAAGAACTTTCGGCTTTAACTTCGACTCATCTGCCCTGGGCTCTTTCTGGAATTCCGACCCAATATTCGGGGTAACCAAAAGAGGAAACGGCGGCATTACAGAGGCAAGAGACGGGGTATCCTGGCGAGACTAAGGCGAAGGAAAAAAAACCTCTTCCCTCCATTCTACTGGCCAATGATAATAAGATGGATGACTTCCGACCGCAGATTTGCTACCAACGGGACTCTCGAAACTGCAATATTCTCTGCTTTTCTGAAACATTGTTCACGGACAAGATACCCCTCATGGCTATCCAACTCGCGCACGACTCCAGGAGGTTGAAAATGTTTGGCATGGGCCCTCACATTCTCAAAGAGTTCTACAGCTGTACCATTTGAGAGCATCTTTACTGGCTCCATCACTGCTTGGTATGGCAATTCCTCCTCCACCAAACTTTACAGTTGGCGCTATGCATTCGTGGCAAGTAGTGTTCTCCTGGCAAACCCAGATTCGTCCATCGGACTGCCAGAGAATGCGTTTCCACTGCTCCAGAGTCCAATGGTGGCGAACTTTACACCACTCCAGCCGACTCTTGGCACTGCGTATGGTGATTTTAGGCTTGTGTGCAGCTGCTTGGCCATGGAAACCCATTTCATGAAGCTCCCGACGAACAGTTCTTGTGCTGACGTTGCTTCCAGAGGCAGTTTGGAACGTGAGTGAGTGTTGCAACCGAGGACAGACGGTTTTTACACGCTACGCGCTTCAGCACTCGGTGGTCCCGTTCTGTGAGTTTGTGTGGCCGACCACTTCGCGGCTGAGCCGTTGTTTCTCCTAGACGTTTCCACGTCACAATAACAGCACTTACAGTTGACCGGGGGCAGCTCTAGCAGGGCAGAAATTTGATGAACTTACTTGTTCGAAAGGTGGCATCCTATGACCGTGCCACGTTGAAATTCACTGAGCTCTTCAGTAAGGCCATTCTACTGCCAATGTTTGTCTATGGAGATTGCATGGCTGTGTGCTTGATTTTGTACACCTGTCAGCAACGGGTGTGGCTGAAATAGCCGATTCCACTAATTTGAAGACGTGTCCACATACTTTTGTGTATATATATATAGTGTATCTACCTCTATCACTCCAGTATCCCTGCACATTGTTAATATGGAACTGACCCTGTATATAGTCACCTGACCCTGTATATAGTCACCTGACCCTGTATATAGTCACCTGACCCTGTATATAGTCACCTGACCCTGTATATAGTATACTTACTTACTTTATTGTGTTCTTATTTTAATTTCTTGTGTTTTTGTTCTACCTTTGTTATTAATTACTGCATTGTTGGATTTTGAGCTTGCAAGAATGGCATTTCACTTTACTTGTGTACGTGACATTAAAACATGAAACTTGTTTGAGCTGCAGTAGATTCTCCTCACTTCAGGCACCTCCCACCATGGACCACACAGGAGCGCACACGCACACAGGCAGGCAGGCAGGCAGGCAGACAGGCAGGCAGGCAGGCAGACAGGCAGACAGGCAGGCAGGCAGGCAGACAGGCAGGCAGACAGACAGACAGGCAGACAGGCAGGCAGGCAGGCAGGCAGACAGACAGACAGACAGACAGACAGACAGACAGACAGGCAGGCAGGCAGGCAGACAGACAGACAGACAGACAGACAGGCAGGCAGACAGGCAGGCAGGCAGACAGGCAGGCAGGCAGGCAGACAGGCAGACAGGCAGACAGGCAGACAGACAGACAGGCAGGCAGGCAGGCGGGCGGGCAGGCAGGCAGGCAGGCAGACACAGCTCCCACCTCTCCCTCCCTCCCAACTCTAATCCTGCCAGAGCAGGAGGCCTATTGTTTGTATGGAAGCTAGCATCAGCGAGAGAGAGACAGAGAGACAGAGAGACAGCCACACAAATGAAATTACCATTTTGGCATCTGCAGAGAGCTGCACACAGCTCGAACTGAACACGTGTGGATGGGAGATACGCTGCTTTACTGATGTCATTGGCAAGGTCTGTGTTTCAGCCAATACAGTAACATTTAACATGCATGTTCTAGGGGGAACATATCTATATCTTTTTTTAAACATGCACATTTTCTCATCCGCTCCTGACTGAATGTGCTGCCATAGAAATAGAATGAATAGAACGGGCATCCCCATTCAAGTCGATGATGGCATAATACCTCTTTAAGGAATACCTGGAATAGTATAACAGTAATCCTTCTACCCCCCCCCCCTCCCCCAACCCCCCATAAAAAATAATTTTAAAACAGGGTGTTGTCCCACTGGCTATCATAGGTTGAATGCACCAATTTGCAAGTCGCTCTGGATAAGAGCGTCTGCTAAATGACTTAAATGTAAATGTAAAATAATGGGTGGACTGATGGCCATTGCGAGTGTACCCATAGGAGCAAAGCAGTAAGTCAAAGCAGGAAGTAAAAAGAGGAAGTGTACCCATCAGTATGTGCTGTGATTTGTAAATTCAACTCAAATGACGTTACAAAAAAATACATTCCGTTGCATGAGCCACATCAGTTAACATCATTTGAATGAACATTCTACATCACCATGGAAATGATTGCATCCCAATACCAGGCAGCCATACCAGTTATATTGCCAGGGTTACAGGTTCCAAGCCTGTTCTATCTGAGTCCACCACACTCAGCTGTTGGTTCCACACACACAAAATATATATATATTTTCTTTACGGTTATGACTTATGACCGTCTTCATCCATAACCGTCGGTTACATGGTTATACTGTAATTGTACCAGCCCTCAACAGGAGTGTTATGTGTAATTGTACCAGCCCTCAACAGGAGTGTTATGTGTAATTGTACCAGCCCTCAACAGGAGTGTTATGTGTAATTGTACCAGCCCTCAACAGGAGTGTTATGTGTAATTGTACCAGCCCTCAACAGGAGTGTTATGTGTAATTGTACCAGCCCTCAACAGGAGTGTTATGTGTAATTGTACCAGCCCTCAACAGGAGTGTTATGTGTAATTGTACCAGCCCTCAACAGGAGTGTTATGTGTAATTGTACCAGCCCTCAACAGGAGCGTTATGTGTAATTGTACCAGCCCTCAACAGGAGTGTTATGTGTAATTGTGTCAGCCCCTTTTTTTTTTTTTTTTTTTGTATTTGTTGTATTGTTATGTGTAATACTGTTTCCCTTTCATTGATCCTATCCTCTACAGAGGGCACGTTGATGTGCCTGTTAGGAGCTTTGGTTCTGTATAACGTATTGTTGTTATCGTTAGTATTTATTTTTTATTGGACCTTTATTTTCACAGGGAGTCCCATTGAGACCAAGGCCTCTTTCACCAGGTAGCGCTGCACATACACAATTTACACAATTTACAAATACAGCACCATGAAAAGATTTACAAGCCATTTCAAGAAAAACAATAAATTCCTCAGCAAAGAGTTCCTTAATCAACCAGAGGCACCAGAACATCCAGTTGAACTGCCCCAGAGGCACCAGAACATCCAGTTGAACTGCCCCAGAGGCACCAGAACATCCTGTTGAACTGCCCCAGAGGCACCATAACATCCAGTTGAACTGCCCCAGAGGCACCAGAACATCCAGTTGAACTGCCCCAGAGGCATCAGAACATCCAGTTGAACTGCCCCAGAGGCACCAGAACATCCAGTTGAACTGCCCCAGAGGCACCAGAACATCCATTTGAACTGCCCCAGAGGCACCAGAACATCCAGTTGAACTGCCCCAGAGGCACCAGAACATCCAGTTGAACTGCCCCAGAGGCACCAGAACATCCAGTTGAACTGCCCCAGAGGCACCAGAACATCCAGTTGAACTGCCCCAGAGGCATCAGAACATCCAGTTGAACTGCCCCAGAGGCACCAGAACATCCATTTGAACTGCCCCAGAGGCACCAGAACATCCATTTGAACTGCCCCAGAGGCACCAGAACATCCAGTTGAACTGCCCCAGAGGCACCAGAACATCCAGTTGAACTGCCCCAGAGGCACCAGAACATCCAGTTGAACTGCCCCAGAGGCACCAGAACATCCTGTTGAACTGCCCCAGAGGCATCAGAACATCCAGTTGAACTGCCCCAGAGGCATCAGAACATCCAGTTAATTCCATACATGGGGTGCATAGAAACTGAAAGCACATTTTCCTACCTCAGTGGAGATCGAAGGGATCAGCCATCTCTGAGGCAGGTCTGATATCTCGTACGTCTGTAGGTTAACAATGAAGTAAGGTACGGGGAAGACCAGGTCTGGTATCTCGTACGCAATGTTCCAACATCTAGTGGAAAGCCTTCCCAGAAGAGTGGAGGCTGTTATAGCAGCAAAGGTGGGAACCAACTCCATATTAATGCCCATGATTTTGGAAAGAGATGTTCGACAAGCAGGTGTCCACAACTCGCCGTGTTTGGAGGAGGAGGAATGCTGCCTATGACCCCAAGAACACCATCCCCACCGTCAAACATGGAGGTGGAAACATTATGCTTTGGGGGTGTTTTTCTGCTAAGGGGACAGGACAACTTCACCGCATCAAAGCGACGATGGACGG